TATTGGGCCCCAAAGTTAGTTTACAAATTTATATTGGGCCCCAAAGTTAGTTTACAGAAACTAGTTGTTTTATTAACTTTAGGCATGTTCCTATAATATTTCAGCATTTTAAGCACATTTATTGAATTCAGCATCAGAAAAACATAGTATATATTTATTTTCATAGTTTTGCCATTTTTATTTATTTATTTTTTTAAGAAAAATGTTTTTTCAGAATGTTATGAAAACCGGATCATTTTGGGAAACCAGGTCAATAATAAAATTGCAGTATCTTGTCTACCCCTCAACATTTATAGCTGAAGTTTTAAGCATTAATTTTTCTTTTTAACATACAACAGCCAAAGTTGTTTTTAAAAATTTTAGGACCCATGGTTCAAAATTTCCTAAATTTTGGGTGATGCAGAATTACCCAGCATTCATTTCTGATGTAATCTGGAGAGTGTGGGGGTTGAGGTTGTTGGTAAGTATGAAATCGCACACAGGGCGCTGCCCAACAATATCATCTGTTGATTTATTGTCAGTAACAACATCCTTATTGACACTAAACCCCTGTTTAACCGATACCTGTACATAATTCAGAGTCAGAACCAACTTAATGACAGATAACAACTCTGGATACTTTTTTATGTCAATATCTTTGAATTAAAAATCATCGAAGCATTTTTTTTTGATCATAGCTAATGAAAACATCCGAATTCTGCTGACAAACTTTGAGAACTGGTTGATAACTTTGTCAGAATAAGAAGCAGTTAATATTTTAAGTGAGATAAGATGATGCAGCAATATTTTCATTTAATTCCTATTTTTTTCAGGTGTGATCTGAGCATAAAAATTTGGCAGCAAACAAGTACTTATTTTAACAACCATGGAATCAAGCGGACATCTTTTAAACAACTTTTCAGCAACTGAAATCAAAATTTGCATGTATTGAATTTTAAATTTTTTAATACCCTTTAAAATAACTGCCTCATTCTATCTGAGCTTTGACAAGTCTCAATAGTTTTAGATTTAATGAACATCCTAAGAATACCCTTAACCAACTGTTCAAGATCACTATTCATATAAGATAATGTTGGAGCATCTGTCTGATAGAGCCAATTCAAGAACCAATTCAAATATGTCAGGAAGCTAAAAAACTGAAATCTTACAAAGGGGCTTTTTAACAGGTTTTACAACAAACTTATATGATTTGCCAGCAAGCAGTTTACTTTTAGACAGAGCCTCCCAATAAATCACAATTTTTATAATAGAAGGCTAAATAATAATTAATTTTTCTGCTACCATTTTGTCTTTAACACAACTGGTTGAAGTAAGATACTGATGAAGTCCCTTCTTCTGGCAGGAGAATCATAAAATAAGATAAAGCAGCTTTTGAACGTCTTTTTTTTTTAAGTTTCCCAATCAGCTTCTACTCTTGTTTTGAAAGCATTGTAAATTATGTGTTGAGAACAGCAGCCTATGTCAATAAGTTTAGATTGTGTTCGTCACGTTTGCTTTGAACATTTTTGTGAAATTTTAAGTTGACACTGGATCCATTCATAAAGACCTGAACAACCTTGCTGATAATAAAATCACTTATCGTTTCATTAAAATGATTCAGCAAAACAAGTCTGGTACTATATCCCATAAATTAGAAATCCCAATACCTCACTTCAACTTGCATATTTTCTTCATTCTAATATCGATGACTAAATTTATATGACAAGTTTGAGTTTTCTTGTTGAGGGACTTAGTTGTTGTTTAAGTATAGCTTTGAAATGAGGACCAAGACCATGATTAAGCTATATCCAACTTTATTTGGTCCCATTTGAAAAGATTTATCTCAATGTCAAGAAACATAGCTTAAAAAAATTAGTAGCATCTTTGTTTGAATTGTTAGAAATTTTATTTATTTTTATTAAACTATCAGTTATCTTTAAATCAGACTCATTATTATTTTTAGCAGCAGACGATTAAAAAATAAAAAAACAGGAGAAATTGCTTGCAACTAAAATATGCTTTTTTCTTTTTTTGTAACTTTTTAGTGCTTGAATACCCATGTCCAAAAGTTCAATTATTTTATGGCATGATTTGCATTTAGCCTGGGCATTATCTTTCCCTTTTATTAGCCAAGAATCAAAATGAGGGTAACTATCTTTGTTTAACTATGCTTCTTTGAAATAAGCCTTTTTTTAATTATAGAAATACAGTAAACTCCTGATATTTGGAACCTCCAAGGGACCGAGAATTAGTTCGCGTTAGAGAATGTTCGAGTTATCGGGAGCATAATCCTTAATCAAAGGTTTAACGGGGGTTCAAAATTAGTTCGAGTTACTGAAAGTTAGTTTTTGCTTAGTTTTTCAGCTTATTTTTATTATGATTTTTAAAAAATTTAAAAGCTGTGGTCAAATTGCGTTGCTATATAATGGCGTTTGATCATACACCTTCCTGTGAAACACTGTAGGATATTTTTTAATTGTCAAAATAAATTAATGGGTATCACAAACAAAACATAATTGCTTAAATTTAACATGAATAACTTCTCAATCAGAATTCTCTGACTTTTCCCTGACTATCTGATCAAAAAAAATAAATTCCCTGACTTTTCCAGGTTTTCCATGACTTTAGCTAAAATTAACTAATTTTCAAGGTTTTCCAGGTACAGTACGAACCCTGTATATAGTGCAATCCTGTAACTGGAAAGCTTTATTAATGTTTAAAACAATATTTAAAAAAAATATATAATGCTGATACTTATATTTTCTGAGGAATTAAAATTTATTTATCTAGTAACTAAAATATGTGCATAAAATAATTCTGTTCTGTGCCTGACTCTGCTTCAAACTTAATTTATTCATTATTAACATTACTAATGTATACCATAAAATATTTATATAGGTTAAAATTAAATGAGATCAAACTGGAGATCACCAGTTTTATTATTATGAAAATAATAGACAAAAACATATAAGAGTTTCTGTGTGTGATTTTATGGAAATGCCCAAATATATATATATATATATATTTTAGTATTTAATTATTTTTTTATCGTAAATATGTGTTTTTTATAATGAATAAAAAACTATCAATTGCATAAATACTTGAAAAAAAATGCTGAAGTAATGCGCACGTTTTTAAAATTTTTTAGCAAATGCCAATATTTGCATATGTAAAAATATAGAAACATGACTTTCATTTTTCAGTCTTTTTTTTTAACAAAAGCTTGCACTTTCATAAATTTGTTGTGCCATGTCAAGCATATGTTTGTTACATTAATATTACAAGAATATATACATAACAAATGACATATACATAACAAGCTCTTTTACAAGAGCCATAAATTGCTCCTGTAAACTGTTTTAGGGGAGTGTGGGCTAAAGCTCTCGCTTCCCACCGAGGCATGTATATATATATGAATATGTATATGTGTATATATATACAACCCTTGGATTTAGGAAAAATGAGGTTGACAATAATTTGCCGACCTCAATCTTCTTGAGGTCCGCATCAGGTCAGCAAAAATTATTTGATACAAAGGTGTGACCATAAAACATAGAAACGAGGTCGGCAATTTATGCTGTCCTCAAACATTTTCAGGTCAGCAATTAGGTCGGCAATTTATGCTGTCCTCAAACAATTTCAGGTCAGCAATTAGGTCAGCATTGCCGAATGCCGACCCTAATTCTGAGAGTTGTATATACATACATATATACATACATACAATTATATACATTTATACATATATATATATATATATATATATATATATATATATATATATATATACATACATACATACATACATATATACATACATATATATATATATACATACATATATACATACATACATATATATATATACATACATTAGTGCCGTGCCAAAAGCCCCCCAAACCCCCCGGTTGGGGGTGGCCTAGGAATTGGAAGGGGCCCTTTTTGAAAATTAAAATTATGATATAGGTGTTTTTTATTTATTTATAATATTAAAACTTCGTATTAACGTTTGCTTATTTTTTCAAATTCGGTAAACCTAACAAAATGATGCATGTATTGACATGCATACAATGATGATTGTATTGACTGGCAAATACAAAGGAGGGGGTGGGGATTAGCCCCCAAAGAACTATCAAACTTTACATTTTTATTAATAAAAATTAAAAAAAAAAAAGGAAAATTAAAAAAATGCTGTTTTAAAGTTATACACACATTTAATATATATATACCGTATAATCTCTCTAATTCGAATCTCCTTAATTTGAAAACCTCCATAAATCGATTAAATGCAAAGTCATCGTGAAATACCCTTATGTGAAAAAAACTTTCTGTAATTCTAAAATCACTCTAATTCGATTTTTTATTTTCCCCATTTTTGTTCGAATTAGAGAGATTGAACTGTATATATTTGCCAATATATAAACATTGTAAATGATCAAATGAAATAGTTGTTTAACCTAAAAATAGGGCCCTTTTTTTTGTTGTTGTTCCGACTATGCTCCATTAGGACCAATCAGTGACCTGGATCCGCCATTGATTGTATTGCTGAGTTAGTGGACGTTTTATTTTAGTAAAACTTTCGTTTAGAAAGTTTTGTTTTTGTTTAGCTTAGTTCAAGTTAAATCTTATGAAAAAGATGCTTTGTATTACTAAATTAGTCTACGCAGCGCAAAGATACAGCAGCCAATTTTTAATTTAAAAAGCAATCTTTTATTCAAAAGATTGCCTGCCCAGGCCAAAACCCTCTGCCTATGTATGTACGTTCCACTACACCAATCCTTAGATAGTCAGTTGATGTATACACACTCCACTTCGCCAATTTCTAGATAGTCAGTAGACGTGTGTACACTAAATTGTGTTTACCCCTATATCAGTATACAAGTATATATTTGCAACCTATAAAAAGAAACAATCAGATTTCGCTACTTGCTGAATTCCGATTGGTTTATTAATAGTCACAATGACTATTAGTGACTTTAGGCACAAAAATTAAAGCAACAGTACCGTTGCGCTAGACACAGCGTTTAGTTAAATTACAAAACATCAAATTATTATTTGATTCCATTTTTTTTTTTTCTTCTTACTTTTTTTTTTTCCAAAAAAGAGAATGCCAAATTGTTAATTGAAGTAGTCTGGGAAAAGATTCTACCAGAAGAAAGAAGATTTTTTCTTAAATTATATATATATATATATATATATATATATATATATATATATATATATATATATATATATATATATATATATATATATATATATATATAATTAAGAAATTATATATATATATATATATATATATTATATATATATATATATATATATATATTATATATATATATATATATATATATATATATATATATATATATATATATATATATATATATATATATATTTACATTAAACAATTAAAAGTTTGATTTAAATTGAATTTTTTGACTCTTTAATTGTTATTTATAACTTATATAGTAATAAATAACATATAATATACAAATATACTAACTTATATAATCTATTTATATTCAAATATTATTAATAATATTTTTATTATTTATGTTTTTTTGCTTTAATCTTGCTGTTAAAATATACAGTTGAGTGATTCAAATATTATCATATGTACAGTCATCATCATAAATATTATTAAATGTAATAGCTACAAAATAACTCCTCTCTAAATTACTATTAACATATTATATAATGCCTTATATAATATATTATGCACCATGTTTAATTTTTATATTTTAACCAATTGACTAATTACATTAATTTTATTAAATCTATTTATAGTAATATTTATCAGTTGATGAAATTCAACACTTAATAATTGTTAATTACTAAAAAACTACTTAACAGATTTTTTAAAGTTTTTTTTAAAGTTTTTTTTTTTTTTTTTTGTGCAATGAATCTGTATTGTGGTTTGATTGTATTAGTGTTAAGTATAGGTTATCATTATAATCGAGTTAAAATGAATAAAATATATTATATTTAGAAAAAAAAGAAACAAATGGATTATAGATAAATATAAAGCAAAAATTAACTATTCACTCAATATAAAGCAAAAATTAACTATTCACTCTAAAAAATCAAATCCAAGTCAGTTGCAGAGAGATGTTGTAAGAAAATTTAAATACATTCTTTGATAGGAAAACTTATGATATATTTAGAAAATAAATTATAATAAAAAAAAAAATTTAATATATCCAAAAAATTTAAGCAATTTGTCGTTCAAAAATCCTATATAAACTTTTAAACCAAGAAAATTTGTGCATATCTACAGACAATTAAACATATATTATATATATATATATATATATATATATATATATATATATATATATATATATATATATATATATATATATATATATATATTTGAAATTTTTGGTGATATATTTAACTAATGATTGATAAAAATATTACTGGCCTGAATATTGATTTTTTGAAAATTGTTTGCTGGCTTGAAAAATGTCCTTTTTGCAATATGTTTAATTGTCTGTAAATATGCACAAATTTTCTTGGTTTAAAAGTTTATATAGGATTTTTGAATGACAAATTGCTTTAATTTTTTGGATATATTAAAGTTTTCTTTTTTTTATAATTTATTTTCTAAATATATCATAAGTTTATTAAACATATCATAAATATATCAAATTGTCCTAGGCAGTGAGTTATTAAAAGTTATTGGTCACTAATAAAATGAATATTGAAAAGCAAGAAATTAGCTTCAGATAAAAAAGATTTGAAGAAAAAGTGGATTAGCTTCTGAAAGCTGTGCTAATGCAAAGTTCTGTAGCTTGAAAACAGAAGTGTCTGTAAATGTTTTTAAATTTTCATTAAACCTTCCGTAAAGAAAGCAGAATCAATAAATTTAATGTAAAAAAAGCAGTAGATTTTTTAAGACAGTGGCAAGAGCAAGCAGTGTTAAGACAGCGGAAGTAGATTAGATTTACATTTCATCAAAACTATAGATTTTGAAAAAATAATTTATAAGCAGATAGCAAGAATGATTTATGGTAATAACTCACCATTTAGAATGGTTAACCATTCAGAGTTTATCAAAATAATCTATTTCTTACACCTAGGATAAACCTTAAATTAATTTGGTTAGAAGGCATGAAAACGCCAACTTAACATGAATGAAGCAAATAATATGGCATTTAAAAAATGCTATAAAGCAAATGTGAACAGCTTAACTAGTTGTTTAGATTTGCTTCATGATCAATCTCTAACCATAAATATTAGTTGTCATCACTAACTATAAATATTAGTTTTCTTACCATAAATATTAGTTGATCAATCTCTAGCCATAAATATTAGTTTCACAACATCCTGTATGACTCTACAGGATGTTGTGAAAAAGACATATGTCCATTTCTACAGTGAGCCATATATAAAAAAAACTTTTATTAAACAACTTGAACAATTTACAATAATTTTTAGAACAAAATATTTAAAATCATGTTTAGCATTGAAGTCCCTTAAAAATAAAAGTTGTTAATTATTTAGAAATGATTTCTAAATATGACAAAATTAGGTGTGAAGATGTTAAAAGTGATCCTAAAAATTTTGTTTGATAACAACAAGCTTGAAATATCTTGGAATGATCAAAAACTTACAATATCTTGGAATGATCACAATGATCATTCCAAGATATTGTGAAAACTGTTTTTATATTCTTTTTAATGTTTCATTTTTATGTAGCATTATAATGAGTTTAAATATTTCTAAAAACCAAATAAAAAATGTTTAAACATGTTTTTTTTCATTTCATTTTTTTCTCTTTTTTTCATTAAAAATTTTCACACACAAATTCTTGCTTCTTACAAAATATAGGATTGTTGTAGAGTGATTTCATGGTTTGGTACTGAAGCATAGCTAAGTCTAAAGTAAAAGGATTTACCGTGTATGGGCCCAGAATGGAGTGAAAACTTGCTTCATTTTAAATACAAACCTCTTGGTGGAAATAGGGGTAGAAGGCAGCATTACCATCAACCACTATAGAAGAAATAGAAGGCAGCACTACCATAACCACAACACATTTTCTTTTTAATGATACAATTGTTAAATAATAATTCATTAATAAAAAAACAATAATGTTATGTATTACCTGGAGGTTTAATATCAGGGATAGAAGAATCATCACCGTGGGCTGAATAATAACGAACTGTAGATAAATATTGAATTGGAATTTTAGATAAATTTTTGTTAAAACGAAAAAAGCGAGTAACACTCGCCATCTTTTTTTAATCAAACGGTTAAAAATAATCTCTTAATATATTTCCCGTGAAAATAACGTTTAAGCTTACTAAGGTGGTTTATGGCCGGTCCGAATTTTAATCAAAGTTCGACTCTCATAGGCGCTTGAACATAGGGTGCATGAGGGGCAACTGCACATACCGGGGGCAGAGGATATCTTCTACCCCCCTTCCTCCAAAATGTCACTATACGCGATTCAAAACAGCGATAACATTTGCATTCAATAGAATGCAAAATTTTTTTTTTTTTGAAAGAACTTTTGCATTCGATAAGAAAGTATTTTATGCTTATCGATATTTGGATTTAAGTTCCTGATATTGATGTGTATTACCGTGAACTTTCCCATGTTAGTTTGGAGTTCAACTTTAAAAGTTTTAATAACAGAATATGAAAAGTCAAATACTTTTCTGTTATAAAAGAAAATATAACCCTTATATAAATCAGTCGCAAAAAATATATTTTTAGTTTTGAAAATGTCAAAACGCAACTTTTGAAAGTCTATTGTTTTAAAGTCATTATCTATGAAAAAAAAGAGAACTAAATTAAGAATTTTTTAATAAAATT